TTTCCCTACCAAAAGGGTTGTGCAGCACTGGAACAGGCTGCCCAGGGACATGGCTGAGCCACCATCCCTGGAGGTCCTCAAGGAACGCGTAGGTGTAGAACTTGGCAGCATGGCTTAGTGGGGGACTTGTCAGTACAAGCTTAAAGGTTGGACTGGAGGATCTTAGAGGTCTTTTCCTACCTGAATGATTCTGTGATTCTAGTTGGGCTGAATTACGGTTCATATATCTGAGCCGCTTGTGCCCGCGGTGCCTCCAACACCCTCCAACTTCCTACATTGCTGGCCGTGCCCAGGCTGGGCTACCCACCTCACATGGAAAAATCTCTTGATGCCTTAGTGCTTGTTTACCTTGAGCCCCCTGCAGCTGTGATTCCTGATCCAAAGCCAGGCAGCTGGCACAAACCCATCCATCAGCTGAGCACCGCTCACCTTACCAGGAGCAGCGGGGTCTGCCAACACGCTGCACGTGCGCCCGCAGTGCCTACTGCCGGCATTCCTCCCCGGCCACCTAAACGAACACTCCAGAATATTCACTACAACGCGCTCATCTTAGTTTTTCCTGCTGGTTATTGGCTATAATCAAGCCTCAGTGGCTGTATCAGGCCTGACAGCCACGCTCGCTGCAGTCAGTGGTGCAGCGCACGCGGCTCCGTCCCGTTCGCGTGGTGCCACAGCAGTGCCATGGAGCTGTGACCGCACACCCGGGAGGTTTTTGTGTTGTCTTTGATGGCCAGAGAACACAGGCTGCAGTTTTCTCAACGGAGTGAGCGTGGCGAGCTGCTTGTTTTACATGGATTAAACAATTATTGACACTGTCACAGAAAAGGGCTTTTGGACTGCGTCTGCTACAAGAATAATAGAGTGAATGGATTTTTTTTCCCCCCTGAGCTCTCAGAATTTTTAGTAAATGCTGGTTTTTGAAGGGGCCTAGAAAAACACTGGATAAAAAAAAAAAAAAAAAAAAAAAAGGATCGTGCAATTAAAAACTGCACCATTCCTAAGTGTAGCCACAGATCAGTGACTTGGGAAAGAGGAAACTTGCCATTTAAAGACAAACTGCTCCCATTTAGTTAAGCCTAGGAGCTCGAAGCAGCAATTGTCAACAAGAGAATAAGGAATATTACCCTTGAAAATAAATACAAATTTTAATTACAGATGGCATTTTGGAGACTGGTGCTGAAGATCGTCATCAGATGGAAAATTGCCGTCATCTTTCTACCCTTGGGGACGTGAACGCTGAGTGGAAACGACTGTAAGTGTAAACCAGTCTCCAACCTGCCTTGATATTGGCATCACAGCTCGCAAGGAAACCTTAAGCTGTCACATTTGGCTAACAAGCCCCTGCTAGCTGAGCGAGGTGGGGGCTGCTGAGCTCCGCCAGCTATGAGCAGACAGGTCATGGGGCAAGAGGCTCCCTCCAGCTCTGCTCCTGCCGCTCCTTGTCCCAGCAGAAACATCTGCAGAGAGCGGCCTGGGCCCTGGGCAGGGGCTGCTGCCCTGGGGCTGGAGGTTGGAGCAGGGCCCTGGCCACAGGAAGGGGATGATGCTGCAGAGGGAAAGGGACGAAGCCACAGAGCCACAGCCCAGCTCTGCCAAGCTCGCCCTGGCCAAGCTGCTCAGAGACAGGAGGCTGCTGTCAGAGATAGGAGGCTCACACTCCACGCTTCCCGTCATGGGGTGATAAGCTTCCAGTGAGGAGAAAGAAGCTGTTGTGATAGCCAAAATATCCCACCTGCTCTCTAGGGATGGTGTCTTCTGGGGACCTGCCTTCTAACACTACCACCAACTTCTCCATGGGTTCGGGGGCCAGGGACTCACTTCTGCCTTGTGAGACTGCCTCTCAGCCCTGAAATACAGACTTGCATTCCCTGCTCTTTCCAGCTCTCCACAAGCTCAGAAGGGGGCTGTGCTGGGGAAAACCGATCCCAAACCAGCATTTTGCAACGACAAAGCCGGAATATCTATGAGCTGGTCTACAAAACTATCCGTTGCGCTAGGGACTGGAAAATATCCAATTTCTTCTCCAAAGAGCAGATGGGTTTGGAAAAGAAATTTTTTATTTAAAGGTAGAAGAAAGTGAAACAAAGCAGCAGCATCGCCCTTCATTTTTAAACTAACACAAAAGAAGTATGGGGCTTTGATATCGATAATAGCGTGAGAGGAAGCGCGTGCTGTCAGCGAACCAACTCATCCTCCTGACCCACAAGACAGCTTGCCTGCTTTTTGGCTCTGTGTCTGGGCAGTGCACCTGAGATCTAACACAAAGCAACTGTCAGTTCGCTGCAACTTTGACTGGAAATCCCAGTGCCGAGGGGGAAATCTGCTGGGCTTTGATGTAGAGATTTGGGTAGTGCCTGCGCCTTCCCATCCCAGAACACAGCCATTTGATATATGGCTGAGGGAGGCAGTTGTTATCTTCTCAGAGAACACGCATGTAGCTGGGTAAATCTATTCGTGACTGCCTTCTAAGATGGATAGCACAGGGGGTGTTTTGGAGGCATCAGTTTATCTGATACAGGGAACAAGGATGGAGACAAATGTACAGACCTCCCAAGCCTTGGTATTTCATGTCGCTGAGGTCCTCCTCTGCTTTCTTCCAGGTCTGCTATGCTCGAGAGCCGGTTCCCTTCAGGTAAGCTGTCCTGGGGTTTCATTTACACCTAGCACATCAGGGGGGTAGGAGTCGGCCCCTCCTGGCTCAGGAACACGTGCTGGCAGCAGCGGGTGCAGGATGCCTCCCTCCAGCACCCATGCACTGCCCACCAGAAGGGACTGATCCCTTCCCAGACTGGGACAGACCTGTCCCCACTGCTGGTGTCACAGCATGCTCCGAACTAGCCCTTACAGGGTAAGGCTGGCTGCTTTTCTGCCAGCATTAAATGCTGATAGGTTTTGCTCAGGCTTTGCCAGGTCCCACCTTTGCCGTGCAATGGGAGCACCACACTTGACATTTTCTTCAGCATCTGCAGGAAGCTGAAGCCTCTCTAAAGCTGTTTTGGGATACTGCAACGAGCATTTTAGGAGAATTAGGGCAGCCTGGCTGAGCAGCATGCAGCACGGCCACACCAGTATCCTTTGCTGGTGCCTTCCACATCGCTTCTGCGTTCCTGGGCACGCAAGGGAGGCATCAGTAGCTGTTGCAATAACCTTTTATGGCTCTGCACTAAATGCCTAGGGGGACAAAACAAATCTTAGGGTATTTCTGTGTGACAGTGAAGGGTGCCACAATACCTAGTGCTGGGGCAATCGGCACAACTTTGCTGCTGGTCCTCTCATCTTGGCTGCTGGGGCCCTAAACTAATCCTTTTACGTAGGATTGCTGTGAAGCTGTAATTCCCTGGGTCATCCCTTTATCTCTTTTGAATTATACTAGCAAATCTCTAATCTTTTACAATTTCCGTTTTTATTTCCCAGGATTTGATTTGCTAAGATTCACCCCCAGAGCTCCCCATTAGCTGCGTTCAGCACAAGGTTTTGCTAGGGTTTTCCTGCTGTTGTTCCTAGGAAGTTTTAGAAACACCTTTCTCAGCTCTGTAGCACTTCTGACATTTGTATCACACATCTCTACCTTGCCATGCCATCTTCGAACAACATATAAATGAATCTCTCCCTTTGGAGAAGTTCAAGTTCTTTCACAAATGCTGATAAACAGTTTATCCATGCAGGTGTGTTTATGATGACATCCATTACAGAAAAGGAAACTGAGCCACTGGGGAAGTGTGACACCCCCTTCTTGAAAACCTCCCAGCCATCACTCAGAAATGATCAAAATGTTCCTTCCCAAGCAATTAAATTATACAGCCACCCACGTCCATGATTTGAACAATTCCTCCTTGCAATGGACCTGGGCTGCCGTCCCTGGCATGCCAGCACACCTGGAAACTACCAGCTTAGCCCTGCCAGGAGCTAAGCACCTCTTACAAAGGTACAAAGAGAGCCAAGCGTGTTTAACATCTTGCTGGATCAGCCTCATAATGTGTTTAAAACAATGGAAGAGGAAAGCATGTGTTCCTTTCAGCACAATCTGTGCCTTATAATCAAGCCTAAATGTTCGCAACCCGCTCGGATCCTAATGAGGAGAATGACTTAAATGGCAGAATGTTCTGCTCTTTCTACAGGTTTACAAAAATGAAATTAAACATAGGCTTTCTATTACAAAACAATATAGGCAAATTGAGGACCAATTATGCAAACCCATCAGAGAACCTGGTGAACTGTGGAGAATTTTGCATTTCTGAGGCGGAACGACTTTTTAGATGAAAAAACTACTACAAGAAATTGAGAACATCTGTGCCATCAAAGAAAGAATGCAGTGAATAATTGGACAATCATAGACAGGCAGCCATTTGAATATGAAGCTGTTTGTAATGTCGCAGTGGAAGGGAAATTACAGAACGCCAGCGTTACTTGGCTGTCAAACGCCTGTGCTTTTCCCTTTGTGCCTATTACGGCGTGTTGTGTGCTCACTTTACAAGAGTCTGCGGGGTCGACAGCAGGGTCTCTAGGGTTATCTGCTTCCATTATTTTGCACATCAGACACATAATGAAAAAGGAGCAGTCAGAGAGGTCCTTGAGCATTTATTTCCTCCAGCATCCAAGTTTAAGCACACCTTTAACCTCTCCCTGACAGACAGCCCAACCTGCAGCCATCCCCCAGACGGCTGACACGCAGCGCAGAGCAAATATTCCCTCTCAGCTGACAAACTCAAGTGACCCCTTGCCTTGAGCAATGATATTATCGTCATTTCCAGCAGGCAGGTCCCATGCGGACACTCCTGCCAGGCTGAGCCACCTCGCAGGCTCCCATCCCCTCTGCAGCAGCAAGCCACAGAAACCCTTCAGCTGCAGCAGCTCCCAGGGTGGATTGCACCGAAACACAGGCACGGGAGATCTGAGGAGCACCTGAGGCTACGGTTCAGCCCTGTCTGCACCAGCCACCGTTTTTTGTCCCCAGGAAGAAAAGACCGAGCCAGGCATATGAGGTCTACAGGAGCACATACCTCTGCACCAGCTCCACGCTGCTCCCTGGCACCACCTCTGCTGCAAGGCACAAACTGCGCTGCCACGCGTCGTGGAGCCGCCGTACCGGGGCAAGGATTTCAGGACCTCATCCAGGACAAAAAGGGAAAATAAAAGTGATCAACTTAGTTGTGATTTCATGGCTAGTTGCACAGATATGCACATGTTACTTTGCACAGTCAGCCTAATAACCAGCTTTCAGAAGGACAGACAGCGTAATGAATGGGTTGTAAAACACGCTCATAAAAACATTATAGCATGTCTCAGAGCATTTGTTAGCTGTTTGTGATTTACTGGGGCCCCTGTTTTACATTTTCTTATAATTTGCACGTTTCCTATTAAAAATAAGTATTCAATGTGCATGCAATTTATTTTAATTTCCCTCCCCCCTCACAAGATAAAACTTTTACAGCCACGCAAGAATGGTGATATTGTAGTCACGAGGTTCATTATACAGTAATTAATACACGTTAAGTATCCTGTAAATATTATGTTATAATGGCTTTAAGTAAATACATACTGTATATTGGCAGTATCTATTAAGTCAGCGCCACTTAAAATGAAATGTGACTAATTAATCTGTTTAAAAAGTCTAATGTCAACTTGGATATTCTTTAAAAATTACAGTACAATGTTCCAAGAGTGAGCGGTGAGTCAGTTAGCATTTAATTACAGAACTTTGACATTAATGGTTACTTTCCTGGCTTATTTAAGTGGATTGGACACACGGGCCAGCATTGAAGGAAAGAGAAGGGTAGGAGGAAGGTTTCATTGTTACAAGAAGCTAAAAAGCCTGAATAATACACCCCATTATCATCACGGTGAATGGCTGCAAGCTAGCACGTGGGTTATTACCGAGGCACCTCGCTGCAGAAGGCCCGGCCTGCCAGCACCCCACAGCCTGCTCCTCACGGACAATGCAGCCGCAGCACCGCTGCCTTCGGGAGGGACCGCGGGCACTCCGCTGGGTTTTTGTCCGTGCCAGGCATTATATCACTTTATTAAGGGATGGTGCCTGGCGCAGCCACGCCGTAACAGGAGCGGAGGCTTTGTTCTCCGCTCAGCTAGAGGCTCAGCCGCTGCCTTTGTCCTGCACAATGTTTTCCTTTCCCTCGTGAAAGGCCGGCCCTCACAAGACTATCAGCCTTTTAACAATTTCAGTCGCTCCCCACACCGTCCTAAATACACAAAGGCAAAAATTCCCCCAAATCTTTCACTTTTTTTCCCTGCCAGGAAGCAAAAATGCAAGAGAAGGTGAAACGTGCGGAATGAAGAGCTCAGAGGTCAGCTGTGCTCTTACCTACATACTCAGCAAGAACAGACGAGAGAAGGCAAAAATCTTTTCCAGAGCTCCTTACATGTATTCATTTTCCTGAGAAGTCATCATCACAGGATGCAAATGTCTACTGAACATCCATCGGACTAGATTTACTCAGCCCCATATACACACCCAGCAGTGAATATCCCCAGTTTTGGAGATGCCAAGAAGCCACACAGCTCTGTTGACTGCAGCCTCGATCCTCACCGAGAGGTGGGGTGTCAACGCTTCACGCACCCAGTAAGCCTGTTACAGAGCAAGTGAGCAGACGGAGCTCTTTAAGTCCCTTATAAATAGCTGGAGCTCCAAATACATCATTAATCTCCAAAGAGTAAATTCACTGAAACATACATAAGTTAACGGAGTTCCATCAAAAATGGAAGTAGTTTAAGAAGTTTGCCCTTCATTAATGGAAATTGTTAAAAAGTCATTCCTCTGGATATTCAGACAGTGCCAGAACCACAGACACAAGAAGTCTTGGACTATTTCCACTTTTCCATGGTCAGTTCCTTCAGGTTTTGCCATCAAACAGAACGTGAACAAGCTTTCTTTGGAAGACGAATCTCTCTGAATATGTGTGGTTTGTTGCTTGAGATAACAGTTTTGGTAATGCATTTTCTGGGGTAACTGCATCCTTCAAGGTGATGGCAGGACCTGAGATGCCCCTTGGGCGGTTGGAGAAGTATGGCAAAGGCAGAACTCTGAATGCCATTTGAGATGATGAGGATAAATGAGAAGAGCTCAGGAAGGGATAACAACGTGCATGTAAACAGAAAGCTTTGGTCTAGAAGTTGTAGTCTGGCTAAACTACACTGAACTAGAAAAATAAGATCTATTTTATTTAAGAAAAGTGGCCAGGGCAGCTCTGAAACCTGGGCCCTGTGTATCACGGTAGCTCCCAAAATCTTGCATTTTATTTAATGCATCATCACTGGCCTCGGAAATAGAGAGAACAACATTTGGTTGCATGCTGGTGCATACAAGGGCATGGATTAATAGCACACTAGAGGCAGAGCTGGTGGCTGGAGGCAGGAGATTTGCATCCTATGATGGGATCTCCCATAGCTTTCTTCAAAGGTAAATCACTTAACAACCCTGTGCCTCAGTCTCCCTACTGCTAAATCACTGTAATGTTTGGATACCTCCTAAGACGTTGCTGGGCTTATCAAATTAACATTCACAAGGCATCCAGAGATAAAGCAGTTCTATAGATGTATTGCATAGCTTGTAATCTTTTGATGTTGCCATGCAAAGGAGACATCACAGAGCACAGGAATACCCTGGGAGAACTCCGAGTCTGCTTTTCACTTCCAAGAGCTCTTTTCTTGCAGTGACCCCTCCTTTTAGCAGCATATTCACCTTGGCCTCTTGGGAGTGGGAGTGATGTGCAGCATCCCTGCTACAAGCCTCCACGAGCCATGAAAACCTGCTGTTATGACCAGAGAGAAGTAACCAGCACTATTATTTGTATCATTTGCTGAGGTTTGTAACCTAGAATTAATTTTCAAATTGAGTCCAAACGCTGCCTATTTCACACACATCTGGGTAGCAGACAAGAGCCCTTTTAGCAACAGAAGCAAACAGAGCTACAATCAAGCAGCTCAAGGCACAACCCTCTAATAGTTCAGTAATCAGTAATAATCAACCCTTCTCTTTATGTTCAGGGAGACCTAATAGAACCCAGCTACTCTACAGTGAATACATTTTCATTTATAAGACTAAATGCAAGCATACGTTATCTACTTAATTAAAATCTAAATTCTCTAACCAACCATTTGTTGTTTCTCCTGGGTGCACGTTACATACATTACTGGTGTTTTCCTGAAATCCATTGCTAATGGATTAAAATAACTTGATGAAATGTTTCATTTGCTGCACATAGTTATGAAAGAACACAAAATACTCTGAGCTGCACATGGAGTGAACTCCTTCCCGTCGTTATTCCAGGACAGCAGCTTCTACATCCCTGTGCCAGGACCCCAATCCTTGTCCTAGGTTCCTCTTGTCTTTGGTGGCAGATAAAACCTGACTCTCCCAAACACCTCAGTGTGCTCAGACTGCAGATTCGTCTTCTAAGCATTTAGTCAGCAAAGATTTCAGGTAGACCTCCACGGTACAAGCACAATGGGGTCACAAAATCATAGGAGCTGACAAGGTGAGGGTGGAAATGATTAACTATACAAAGGCAGGGCTGTGAGATCCTGAAGAACGCATCTAGTCTCGGTTCTGACATTGCAAGGGTCCCAACCACGTGCAAGGACTTGATGGATGTGACATATCCTAGAGAGACCTGCATCCTCAGAAGTAATAGCTGGGAGCCAGGCAGGATGCCTCGAATGGCACCAAGTCTTCAGGCAACAGCAATGCTGCCCGCTGGTCAACCCCCAGGAGAGGGGGGGAAGTTGGACGTGGCAGTCCTCTCCACATCTGCTTGGTCTAGGGGAGAAAAAACAGTAGGAACTCATCATCTGCCACAGCCTGGCTAGGAAGAACCACTCCTGTCACAAGATGTACTTTCTCTGACTCCATGCTGCTTTTCAAGTCTTGCTGAACAGGACTGTGTGGTCATGCTGAGTTCAGCTTGTGTGGTTTTGGCACTGGTGACCACTGACCAATACATCGCCCTTGGGATCTGGGCTGGCTGTGCCTGCATTCCCACAGCCAAAAGAGGAATCCCTCAATACTTAGGGAGTAGGTCTTCCCAGAAAGCTGGAACATCTCCTGTAAGGATCTGAAGGTCCTTGCTCCACTGGTGATGAAACATTTGTTTCCTTGCTCAGAAAATGGACATTTTCAGCATTTCAACTTATGAACATCTTCAAAGGGTCACAACCTTTACCACTGGTACTAAACCTGGTTTGTTTTCTGTCTCTCAGCAATTCCTTTTTCTTGGTCCTGCATCTCCTTAGTACACCTCGCATAGGTGTTAAATACCATTCAGCTATTTCGAGTGTCATGAAGAATCTCCCCCCGAGGAAAGCAAGCAGGCAGGGAGGGGGTGAAGTGAGTTGAGAGCTGCAGGTGAGGCAGTGCCAAATGGAGACCGATAGCTGCTGCTCTTGAATGGAAGAAACCTCCTAACAGCTTCATGTCATTACTGCAAACCACAATATTTATAGAGATGCCACCCGGAATTCCGCTTTGCTTCCAGCAGACAAGAAGTAAAAGGGCACCTCCTTCAAGCCATTCAGTCCACTCTGCATTATAATTAAAAACAATTTCTGTTCTCAATAGGGTTTTGATTCAGGTAACCCATTACCTCCAAGAGCCAGTTGTGAGACTAAATTCCAAATGCAAATACCAGCTCTGCTTTGACAGTAATGTTTTTTTTTTTTTTCCTCCTTTCTACCCATTCTGCTATCTTCCATTTTTGGAAATTTTCATCCCTGTGATATGAAGTGGGTGTCCAGAGCAGATTTGCCAGGGGACAGAGATGGTTTTGTGATCCTTTTCTTGTGAGATGCTCTTCCGTGCTCCCTCGTTGCAATGCTGGCGGGTCAGGCAGTCCCAGCACAGTGCCAGAGCTTCCTCAGAAACACACAGGGACCAGTCTCCCCAGCTGAAGCCCCATGCCCGGGGTTGTTCCCTTTGCTGTGGTTACAGGCAGGAATTCCCCTGGCTGTCTGCACACACTCCTAGCACAGCAGGCAATTGTTCTGGGTCTTACTGTAACACGAGTAGGAGCATTTACATCTCTGCAAGGAAACCAAAACTTTCCAACAACAGGGGGACTGTTCTGACTTCACCTGTATTTGTTGACGTGGTTTGC